GGGTGAGAACCTGGATTTGTGCTGGAAATGGCCCACCTGATGATCACTTTAGATAAGCTATTACCAGCAGGACAGTGGGGTGGGAGGAGGTATTGTTTCATATTCTCTGTGTATATATAAAGTCTGCTGCAGTTTCCACGGTATGCATCTGATGAAGTGAGCTGTAGCTCATGAAAGCTCATGCTCAAATAAATTTGTTAGTCTCTAAGGTGCCACAAGTACTCCTTTTCTTTTTGCGAATACAGACTAACATGGCTGTTACTCTGAAATTTGTTCTGTCTGTTATTACTTGAAACCACTTAAATCCTACTTTTTTTCTTAATAAATTCACTTTTGTTTATTATTGAACCCAGAGTAAGTGATGAATACCTGGGGGAGCAAACAGCTGTGCATATCTTTCTATCAGTTATAGAGGGCAGACAATTTATGAGTTTACCCTGTATAAGCTTTATACAGAGTAAAACAGATTTATTTGGGGTTTGGATCCCATTGGGAGCTGGGTGTCTGTGTGCTGGAGACAGGTGACCTGCTGAGCAGTTTTTGGTTGAAGTCTGCAGCTTTGGGAGCATGGACCAGACCTGAGTCTGTGTTTCAGCAGGCTAGTGTGTCTGGCTCAACAAGGCAGGGTTCAGGAGTCCAAAGCTGGCAGGGAAAACAGGCTCAGAGGTAATCTCAGCATATCAGGTGACAGTCCCAAGCGGGTCCCTGTGACCGAACCAGTCACAGCTGGGTTGCCAGGATAGCTGTCTAGCAGCAGAGCGAAGTGCATGTTGCACTTTCTAATATGGTGGGGGGAGGTGTCTGGATGCCAGAATTCCTGAGAGTAATTCCCATTAAGCAAACATTTTCTAGTGATGCTATTGATAAGTTATGCCCTTATGCACTTCTAAAAGTGAGTTTCTGACAGGCAATATTTGCTATGTAGGAAAAAAAAAGACCTTAAATGTAGGGATACTCTTGTAATCCCTTGAAAATGTTGCCACACTGAATGCTGTCATGTTTTTAAACTTTCCCAATCTGTGTAGCAATTCCCTGGCGGATTTATGCATGTACGTGCACACTACCCTGATTTATGCATTTTCAGCACAAGTGGCCTTTTTTAAAATGAAAATTTTCATAGAAAATTCTTCATATTTTAGAAAGTTTTCAACTTTTTGAGGACAACCAAGAATAAGAAAATAAAAAAAAAAATCAATTTTCATTTTTTCACTGAAACAAAAAATATATACTGGTTTCCAACTGGCTTTTGTCACGATTCTTTGCATAAAATTTCTGCAAGATGCATTATGTTTGAATTCACTGATCTTATTTAATATATTTTCCTGCCTATATCTTTTGGAAATATACATAAAATTATATTAAAGTGGATTTACTTTAAAAAAAAATGTAGCCCAAACTGAAAAGTCAGTCAATATACTTCGTGAATTATAAAAAAAAAAAAAAGATGAAACTAGGTGTGACCCATTGTAAAACACACTAACGTATCTTTGAATAACGATATATTACAAATTCTTTTAGAATCGGTTTACCTGGTACTAGAACACGTGTCGTAACGACTGCTATAGTTAAAGTTGCATAAAGCATTTCAACTCTACCTCCTTATTTTCGGTCACTTAACTTTCCCAACCCTTCCAGTTTGGGGCTGAAATTTAGAAGGTTCGGTCTCTTCCCAAAGGTGACTGTTCCTGGAAAGGTTGAGTGAAAATATTCCAGCTGTTTCAGCATAAGTACTTTCCCCATTTATAAAGAAAATCTCCACTTTTTTTTGAAACAGCAGTAACAGTGAAACAGCTGGTGGAAGAAAGTTGAAATTTGGCAGGGCAATAGCCCATTTTGGGAGCTCTGATGAAAGCTCAATCAAAGCAACACTAGTTATGAGTCACTGAAAATTGCAGTCTCTACATGTTCATTTTTGCAATTTTCTCACTAAGTTCATGAAGTGGTGTAGCTATGGAAGGCTGCACTGCACATACACATGTGGTTCGCTTAGCAGTGCAGTGAGAAGTGTCGTGCAGGTGCACAGAGAATGTGGCTGGGCTATGCAGAAGGCCCTTGCCTCAGTAGTTATACTGTTTGCAGAAGTGTTTCGGGGTGTCTCAGTAATGTGAAAGTGTTCCAAATTATGGAATATGATTGGGCTTTCATTACATGATCACATACTGTTTCGCAGATAAGGACTGGAGACAGTCCCATAACGAAAGAGAAACATTCCTATGGGCTTCAGTGGGCATTGGATCAGACCCAAAGTGAGCAAAGACTTTGAGTGAAATCCTGGAGCTACTGAAATCAATGGCAAAACTCCCACTGAATAAGAGTCAGGATTTCACCCTTCAGGATTTTACTCTACAACTCTAGATAAGCCCAAATGAACGAAAATCACAGATATCACTCTTTATTTCACTGTATTTTCAATATGCCACGTGGGACAAAAACTTCCGTGCACATCAATGGATTCACTAATACTCCATTTTCCGTTAGCAGTTTGCTGGTAATAACATGTTGAATAATAATAAGAAATAAATATAAGGGGGATAGGTCCCAATTTTGCTCTTTAGTTATCCATTTGCCATGTAGTGCACGTGACATGATTTTCTGCTGCTTTGTGCCTTTTGCCATAATTCTCTCTGGGGCAAATTGGGCACAAAGTGAAGGTTGAGCTATCGTTCTGAAACAGTTGCGTTTTCCCTCCACCTCACACAAGTGTAAATGGTATAATTGAGAATCTGGCCCCTTGTGTCACCAAGGCCATTTTACACCATTCTAGTAATATAAAGAAAACTTAAAGTGAGGGGCAATTTAATTTATGCTCACTTCACATTTCCAGAACAGTGTGATGTGGAGTTAGTAAAAATAAAAATCAAACCCTAGGTGTATGGAAGGGGAGATTCAGGCCATAATTGGCAGTCAAAACATGCTTGTAGCCCAAATTAACCTTAGTATGAATTACACCCATGTAATAACTGGAGACTAGACTGCAAAATGTAAAGACGTGATTTTTATATTTGTGATATAACAAGCCAATTATAGTCACACACTGAGGAAAATGCTACATTTTATTAGTTCTCATCTCCCTTTATGAGGCATATTTGGGGCTATATTTCACTGTATCTCCAGTACACATTTCCATAAGATTAATTAGCTAATGTTTGTAAAGCACTTTGAAACACTGAAATGCCATATGAATGTCAACTCTTTCTTCTTCTAATTTATTATAAGTGAGATGACAGTACTGTTTAGATGTTGACTAAAGCCTTGTGATTTTTATGGTCACAACTTTGTCAAAAAGATTTTATCTTCCTAGCAGCAATGTGCTACCAAATATGTTGAGCCTTAAATCAACAGCTGTTTCACCTCAAGCAAGTTATGGATTTTCCTTGATTTACAGCAGTCAGGTTTTTTTATTTCTCCTCAGAGAGGAATAGGGGGAGAAGCATGTGTTCATGCAAACAAACAGCATAAAGGCCAAGGCTTGCTTAAAAAAATAAGTATCAGAAATTAGGCTTTTCAATCATATTTAGGCAGCTACAAGAGTGACCGGATTCTTAAAATGTGGAGGATGCAGTCGCTCCCACTGACATCAGTGGGAGCTGCTTCTTGGGCAGCAGTCAGCACTTTTGAATTTAGAAAGTTATGTTTAGTCACCTGTTTTTGAAAATCTTAGCCAGAAGTCCCCACTATGTGCTCTAAGGGAGGTTCATCTCACTTCAGTGGGATCCTTATAGATGGAGGGGACTGCCCATCTGGCTGTCATGGCAGGACTGGAAACCTAGTTATTGTTCCACATAGTGTGTGTTATACCTTTCCAAATGTCTTAAAGTTCATAGGAGTATTTTACAGGCAGGGTGCCCTAGTGCAAACAATGACAATAGGTGCAGGACAGTGGAGGCTCAGGTCCCCTTGGTGAAATTTGTACACTCACACTTTGTGCTAGAACGGGTGAATCAAGCCCATTGTGACAAAACAGTGCTTGCTAATAGAGTTCGGTCATGTGTTCCTTGACCAGTGTGTATAAGGATATTTTTCTGAAAACCATGCTACGCAGCCCATACTGTACACTTTGCTCCCAGTAGTGTTGGATATAACTGATTAGTTTCTAGCATGAATCTCAAACAAAAATATCCCTAATGGTTAGACAACTTGTGTTAAACCACTGGTTGGAGCTAGGAATGTTCAAGGTTATAGCTAGGAATGTTCTGATCCCAGTATGGACAGTGTCTTTATTAAATCAGTTAACTTTATGGCATTCATCGTTTTTCAGTGTTTTTCACTTAAAAAGTAAAGCCTGCAAAAACCCCATAATCTTTATAGTGATTGAAGATGAAACCTATTCTTATGCTGCACCAAACTCCACCAAACTAATGACTCTTCATTTGAACTTATTTTACTCCTGCTTTGACTCACTAATTACTGATACAACATTACTGATGGTAAAATTTGTTATAGTAAGAACAAATATAATTGCATAGCTACAGAATTAAATGCTTCTGTTTTCTTGCTGTAGGATTTTTCAGCATTTTGAAAGTCCATCCTTCAGGGTCTGATTCTTATTACCCTGAAGCAGCTTTAAATCCTACTATTCATTGTTTCTGGTCAGTTTGTCTAGTGGACTGCTGGGAGTCCAGGTCTCCAAGGTTTGGGGCTCTAGGGCCAGGGTGTGACTGGAATCCCAGGGGAGCCATCTGAGTTCACTCAATTAGGGTGAACTGCAAAGAATGGGGAAGGCAATCCCCAAAGCTGGTGGATATTCCAATACTTAGATTTACCAAGCCAGCACAAAACAGCTTCTATAATACCTCTCTGGTTACTCAGAAGTCAACAACACTGTTCCCTTAAAGTAACCCAGCCTCAGGCCTCCACCTAGGAACCCAAGTCAAATATGATGCAGATTACTGAATTCTTATTCATCGTATAAAAAAGTTCTACCAACCCCAAAGGATCGGACACATTACCTCCACAGGTTAATGGATCTTACCCAAATACCCGCTTACAGCCAATTCTTATTAACGAAACTAAAATTTATTAAAAAAAGAAGAGAGAATTGGTTAACAGATCAGTATACAAACAGACAAGAGTATAATTCTTGAGGTTCAGATTCATAGCAGAGATGGTGAGCTTTGTAGTTGCAAAAAGTTATTTCAGAATTGGTCCGTAGGTTATAGTACAATGTTTATATTCAGGGCAGTCCAGTCAGCACTGGAATCTCAATCTTGAGGCTTAAGCTTCCCCTGCGTTGAAGAATCAAGCAGATCTGAGATAAAAAGGATTGAGACCCAAGGGTCTTTCATATAGTTTTCTAGCATCCACTTGACCATACAGTCCTGGGTAAACAATAGGCTTTTGATGTAACCTTCTGTTTCCAGTCATCACCGGTAATTAACTACATGAATTACCTTATGATGATTTATCCATTAAGCAGTTAATCACAGACTTTATAGAGACACATAGACAATGACATTATTGCACCCAAGATTCATCTAAATGTTAATATTCCCTTTTGATCTCTGAATCAACAGCAACAGTGACAGACAGGAACTGTCTGTTTACATGGCTAGTATCTATAAGTAAACACATCCAATTAGTATCACTTCTAACAATATAAATTTGCATTTGCAGTTCTAGCCTATCTAGCATTGAATGGCCCTAATTACCATTTGCATACCCTTCTAACATGACTTTAAAGGTGGGCTCTGGGTTATTTAGCCTGCAAGCTGCTTAACCCTTTCCGGCCATGTGTTACACTTCGTATAAGATTCGTTGCAATTATATAACAGTGGTAGCAATCATGATTTGCATGATTATATTTTAATTAGACAACGTCAGACAGGGACTCTGGGCTTCAAGCATCTGTGACTTCAGGGCACCTTGCCATACTGACTACCTCAAAATCGGGGATCTGAGGGCTTCAAAGCTCCCTGCTGAAGAGCTGGAAGCTGTGGGACCCTGGCTCTATGCAGGGATCTTCTCCCTACCACAGAATTGAGAACCTTTGAGCCCTGGATCCCAAACACGGAGTCTCCCAGCTTGGTCATGGCTTCCAGGGATTCTAGGCTTCCAGTTCCATGGGGTGCTTAGAAGCCCTAGGAGCCATGGCTGAGCTGGGAGCTTCCGAACTTGGGCTCCCACAGTCAATCTCATTATTAAATTTTCAAAACAAAATGTTTAAACTATATCTACAAATTCTTTCTCTTTTCCTTTTTAGTGAGAAAATTCAAAACTTGTTTTTCGTTCGGAAAAGGAATGAAATTTTCTTTCAGAATTTCCCACGGAATAGAAATTCTTACTTTTGACTAACTCTGCTAGATAATCCTCTCTTCCCATGTGTATTCAGTAATATCTGATGACCAATGACTAATATAAATATTTGCTACTGTTTACTTCTATCAGTTCTAGGCGAGAGCAATTTAGATTCCATTATATTTTTTACATAATCAACAGAATTGTTGTCTAAGTTAAGATTGCAGTGTCCTTGTTGTTGGTGATGCATATGCCAGGAAGAACCCAGCTTGGCTTTCAGATCTTAGGTTGAGTTTGCAGGACTGACTGTCAGAAAAAGATGGGTTTTCTTTGCAATCTGATCAGATTTTATCTGGAAATCAGCAAAAGAAACCTCATGATACCAGTTCTAGAAAGTCACTTTTTTGAGCAGAACCATACTTTAAAGAATGATGTAAGATGCGTATGGTGACTGGTATATTTTGTAGAAGATATTTTACTTGTAATAATGTAAATTGTAGTGCAGGTTCCTTTACGTTGTCAAATGACATAGCACCATTCAAACAGAGTAAAATATTGCACTGAGTTCACACTTTCAGCCCAATCTCTTGTATCTCAACTATAAGGATAGAAATTATTATAATTTAGTTGAGGATCAGCTTTGAGCTTGAGACTGTACATTTGAGAAATCTCAGACCTTACTACTTTGTGCATAAAATATCATATTCATAGTGGTAAGATTTGAGCCTTTTCCCCATCTTGGAGCTAAAATGTCTTGTGCTGGGTGGGGGGAAGAGTAAAAAAAGCTCTGCTGGCATAGGGTAGTCTGCACCACTCACCAGCCTCCCATTTTGTATATCTGTTAAGTGCTTTGTTTAAATTAGAGTTTCTCTCTTTTGTTTAGTGCTAACCGGTAAACATGGAGGCTTTTCCCTAGCATTTGGTTAGCAAATACTATCAACCTAAACTGTAGCATGTAACTGCCAACCCAGTCTCTCAAATGTAAACTTACAAAATTCTCTTTGCCACTAGGCCAGAAGGGACACATTGTCAAGTCTGCAGGTATAATGAACCTAAAGAGGCAGTTACTTTACATTTCCTGGCATCAGATCTTCATATGCAATAACAGCTTATAAAGGAAGTTGCTTCTGGTCTTGTGGCGAAGTAACTCCTGATACACAAAGTGACTGTTATACAAGAACAAAGTATTGGGAAGCAATTGCCACCCACCTCCACACCTTTATCATATCCCTTTTCCTGTGTCACAGATTGTTAGTAGAACTAGTTGAAAAATTTCCACCAAAACTCCCCGTGCTTCTGCCCCTGTATTAGAAAATGACTCTGAGAGCATTTTGGTTGAAATTTTTCATTACAAAAAACAATAACTAATCACGGAAAATTTCAAGCCACACACAATTTTTTCCCATAGCATACTCTTCATAATCTAGAAAACTATGTAAAATAGCCATTGCCACAGCGTGTGGCACTGCTCCAAGAGATATGTATGATATAGCTCATCATTTCCCCAGGTGTGACTGAGCCCTTTAGTATGGACATTTTGTCTTCTCAGTCTTCGTACTTTAGCTCAGATGTTTTGTTTTTTTTTAATTTTTTGAGACAAAGTGCTCATTTATGGTAAGGTACTGTTTTCTGGTGCTAAAACAGCTTGTTCTTCCATACCAATATTTTTTAACTAAAATAGCACAGCAAGATCTGTGTGGATAGAGAAGAAATAAATAAATCAGCTGGTGAGCCATTAGCATTCACTTTACATGGTGAAAAACAAATATAGCTGTCATTTTCTAACATGCCCGATAGATAAATTGAAAATGTGTATCATTCTTTAACATAGTAAAGAAACAGAGAGCTGCCTATTACTCTGAGAGATATTACTTGTGTAATGTATATTATCAAGGGAAAAAATGATCTATCTAGCTCGATGGCTTGAAGTTTCAAGCGTAGCTTATCATATCTCTGGATCATAAAAGACTCATTTGAAAGAAAAAACAATAGAAAATATTCAATTAAGAATGAACAAAATAAATGGCAATTGTTCCTATCTTCCTCCACTACTCTGATCTCACTATTTTAGATACCAAAAATAGTAGGTGATGGTGGGTGTTACAAAATTCTTGATAATATTGGAATTGGCTTGAATGTTGAGATTTATATCAGTGTACCATATTTTGTAAAGGGTGCCAATATAGTTGCGTGGGTTTTTCTGTCCCGGAAAATACCCCTGTAAAACATGAGAAAATGTTTACCATATCTTTCTTCTGGCTTGTAGCTGAGTCCCTGAAAGTAAAACAAATTTGTCATGATTTGTCAGCTTTTCTCCCACAAATGCAAAACTTCTATGGATGTCTAATTTGCATGAGAGCAGTATAATGCTCAGCATGGTGGTGTTCCTTTTCAGAAGACCTGCACGGGGAGTTAGTCACGCTGTAGACAGTTTTCTGCTTCACTCACTATACTCAGATCAAATAGTCATCCAGATTAATCCCTGGTCTAATTCCATTGATTTAATGAATTTTAGTTTGAAGTTAGTGCTTGCAAAAAGTAGGAGATTAACAACCTTGGAGAATGAACTACGCATAGAATGGGTACAATGTAGTCAGCAACTGTATAAGCAGTAAACAATCAAGTTTCACACTGCCCTGCTAACATGTCTCATCCTTGACCTGCAAGGACCATCTGTAGAGGTACAAAGCTAGTTCAGCCTCGATGACTGCAGCCTCTCTGCTGTGACTGCCATCTAGCCAATTGCATTATCAGTTTATTGTCCTCCTGGAATTCGACTAAGCTCACCAAACTCCTTTCAAATGGGACACTACCAGCCATTAAACAGTAACAATCTGGGCAAGTTTTGAACCAACCAACTAGAGAGAGAAGGCTTTTTATCATGTTACCTATCCCCTGACATATTCACTCTTACTCAGCCCATACTTCTGACATTATATGCTTTTTTACTTGTCAGTTTCATCTGTATGGTACAATGTGCCTTTTTCTAACTTCCAAATACAGAGAAGGATCCTAGTTAATCATTACTTTCAACAAAACTGGTCTTTGCCAAAGAATAACCAATGTTTGGCAGAAATTCTAAGATGCCAACAGCTCATTGAACATCAATTGATGAGAAACCTGTACATTAGGGTACATGCTGTCTTTTGGAATTAGGCTAAATATCAAGTACTCCTGTCCAATCTGCCTTTGGATTGGTCATTGGTAGCATCAGCTTCCAGCAGTGCACTGAATTATTCTTTAGCTAGTAGTATTAACAGAAAGTAAGAGGCTTAATTCTGTTGGAGAAAAGCCCTTGTCCTGTCAATTTCTTTTCAGTGGTCAATACATAGCATTTGACTTAAGAGAGAACTGACAGAGAATTTATTCTGAATAACTAGAACAGTTACATAAATTTCAGCCAATAAGATCTCCTCACTAGCAGCTTTGGAAATGCAAGATATAAAGTGTGTTCTAATTTGTAATATTTTAATCTTGCCAATTTAGAGTAAGAAACAAACGTTTTCATACAATATACTTGACAAGCATCTATTTCAGCATTCCCCGGAAGCAAATTTCCAGTGTTTTCTTACACTCTGCTTTTGTTAACTTTTTAATAAGACATTCTGTATCTTTGACAGATAAAATTACAAAATTAATGGAACAGGATAATCCATTCAGAGATACAGCAAAACACATTAAGAACCACATGCAAAGGAATGAGAAAAGAGGCACTTACATTATTGAAGGGGGAAATGAATGGTACTAATGATCACAGTTGCCAACTTTCACACGGTAAAACACCTGACTTTCACAATAAGACAAAAATCAAGCTAATCCTATTTCAAAACAAGCGAATCTCTAAGAACCCCAACACTCTGTGACTAGATCCCCCTGGTATGCAGTCTGGGACTATGGTGGGCCCCCAGTGTACCCTTGACTCTCTCCCCTGCTTGCCCTCCCTTGCCCCTGCTTGCTGGGAGCCATTGGGGGGGGGGGGAAACAAGCTGCAGCAAGCTACAAGTCAAACAAGCTACAAGCCAAAAACTAGCCAACAAGCAATTCACAAGCCCAAGCCAATTAAGTCAAAAACAAGACCAATTTCTGCGTGTTTTTTTTTTTTTTTGTGGGTTTAGCATGTTTGCTAATGATATGTTTTGGAATTTTTTTCTCCCTATTATTAAATTATAATAACTTTCAGAGGCCTCTGTCAGGATTGGGGCCCCTTTGTGTTACATGCTTTACAAACACAAATGAAGATTGAATTTTCTTTGGGTAGGAACTCTTTTTTATGTACACATAGTCAGAAGTACATAATTGGATTTGAATATTAAATAAAATTATTGTTATGCTCACTAACATAATATGCAGGGAATTTTGTTACTATAGGAATTTCATTTCAATAAAGCACTACAATAGCATGACATAGTTTATTTGCAATTGCAGTTTCTTGTGCATTTCTGTTATTACCACTCAATAACATTTGCTTTGCCCATGGAGAATTGATAGAATGTCACATAACAGTAATCATTTCTAGTTTGTGAAGTAAGACTTAATTGGTATTTTATTTTCACTTTAGACCGTATTAAAAGAGCTCTGTGGAGCTTGAAAGCATGAGTCTTTCACCTACAGAAGTTGGTCCAATAAAAGATATTACTTCACCCACCTTGCCTACTTTCCATACAGTTTTTCTGCTATCATCTTCTTCTGAAATGAATTGAAACAGTCAATGCAGTTCTATGTAGTAGGTATTTACAAACATTTGAAAGCAAGAAGGAGAGAGAAAAAACTTTTTTTTCTCTGACTGATTTTGCTGCAGTTGAAGTCAATGGCTGAACTCCAATTGACTTCGAATGTTATTTGGCCTTCGATAGATACATCGATACACACCAATACATAGCAAGCAAATTTCCAACCAATGTTGTAAACCAGAGAAGAATATTTTTGTATAACAAGGCTGCTACTCTGAAACCTTTGTATAACCTGCAAATCTTATTCTATCCAAATACTGTAGATGCATATTTTCTGTTGTCCAAATCTTACTAAAAGGGAATATTTGATTTTCATTTTATTGGTGATATTCTGGCTCTGAAAATAGCGCTTACATTATTTCTTAAATTATTTATTGAATTTCTTTTGAATAAGAATCTATTCCGTAATCTTCATGGGATAAAACACTTGTTAGATTAGAACTATTAAGTTTGTCCGAAGACTTGGTGTGCACTAAAAGAAGATAACATGATAAACCACAACCTTTGTGGCTTGCATTAGACATGGCATTGTTTGAGGCTGTGACATTCCCACTGTCTCTCTCTTTGGCATATAAATGTCTGACACTAATGATTCATGTTTTCATGCTTATTGAGCATCCCCTCTTATTTTCTCTAAAGGAGTCTTTTGGCTCACCTGGATTCAAAACAGGAATGTTCCTTTTTTTTCTATACCTCATTAGGAGCTTAACCAAGAAGAGTATGGCTGATTCAACTTTCCTGTCAAACCCCATTTTTAAAAGTGCTTGGCTAGCCCACCTGAGCTCAGGTGGGAAAAAGACAGAACATTCTTGGTTTTCTCAGAAGCAAAATTCTTAGTTTTCTTGATGATGACATCAGAATCCACTTCATTTCTCTTAAATTCCACTTAGAAAATACTTTATCTCAGATATTATAGTAATGTGTGCCTGCATAAGACTGTGGATAAATAAATCTTTTTCTTGGAGTGAAATCTTCTGGTTATATAGTATAGGCTTTTTCTAAACCCAATCTAACGGTTCCTATTCTGGCAAAATTTTCGTTGAAGTTGATAGTACTTTTGCCCATGTAAAAAATGCAAAATCAGCCCTTTATGTAAATAGGGTTGTCTGACACATTCAGCTTTTCAACATCTAGATCTCAGCCTTCCAAAAAAACCTGATGGAGTCCTACTGTTGTGGGGAGTTGCAGCAGTCTGATGTCCTTTGTTTCTGTTCTATTATTGCATACTGTATTGTTAGTAGCCAACGGAGTTTTCAGTATTCGTTGAGTCAGGAATCTTGCTCTGTATACATCTTCTTTGTTATGATTCTATCAAAGTGACTCTTCAGGCCAGAGACTCAAAATATTTAAGATTCTAATTTCTAAACCAATGTCTTATTGGTGTGTGGAAAGCCATCCCATTTTACATTAATCTCTTCCAGGATACCTTGGATAGAATGGTCTCAGGAGAACTGCTCTTCTGTGAAAGAATGTGTGGTCTCTGCAGAGTGGAATTGGTTACGAGTCATGGTCTGGGGATTTTTGTAACTTGATAAGGCATAAACAACAAGTAAACGAGATAAATACTGAGGCTGAGATTTTCAAAGTCAAATAGGAGATTTAGCCACAAAAACCCAACTGAAATGAGTGGAAGTTTTGTAGCTAAAACTCTCAGTTGGCCTTGAAAACCCCAGCCTGACAGCCCATATTCTGTATAAAAAAGGGCACAATTACAGATCTGAAGAAGTTAAAAAAAATCCCAGTTTTTTTTTGACTTCTTTACATAATACTGAACTTCTTGTGTCGCCTGCATGAGTTTAGTTTGCATATTAAATACACAGATTTAGTCAATCACTTCCTACACTACCTATCTGAGTAGTTTTAATGCCCTTACCATTGTAGTATCTGAGTGCCTAGAGCCTGCACTAGACTTTCAACTTTTAAGCATTAAAAAATTAATAGCAAATTAAAGAAAAAGAAAAAAAACCTTAGTCTTCTATGGTTCCAGCTAATGTGACTATATATCCCAAAAGAAAAGATTGTGTACATAAGTTAGAGAGTGTTTGCAAACATTACTGTTAATGTGTGCACCTTATCAACATACATTGATTTTAAACACATCCTTTAGTTTAAATAGCTTTGATTTTCTGCCTGGAAGACAAAAGAGAACATTAATAGCCATTGCTTATTGAGTTTACAAATTTTTACATTAGTTCATCTACAATGATCCTTTGTTTGTTACACCTTAACTGAAGATATTACAAAGAATACTAAAGATGCTATTCCTCTGAAGGGTAAGAGGTATACTCAGTGTAAATACACATTTGCTATTAAGTAAGTTCTGCTATTTGATGTCACTGTTTATAAAACAATGAAGTTTTTGCAAGGTTACCAAAAAAACAACAATCTCTAGTGTTAGTTTATTACCGGTCGAAAAATCATTATTTCCTTGTGGCAGCAGAGTCAAATCCCAGACATTATTTATAATCTAGGAAAAATTATCTTTGCAGTGGCACATGACACAACCTTCAATTCCTAAATGAATCCAACAAAAATTGTCCATTGGGATGAGACTTTGCACTTAATCTTTCAGCCTTAAATGTCATTTTTGAGAAGGTTAATTGTGAGAGTGGCTTAAAACTGAGAGGCATGTTCTGCCTATGTATAATCTGTCTATTACTGCAATGCATTCCAGCAAACCTAAAAAAAAGTACGGTTGACTGGTTGCATTTTACCTGTATGCAGATCATTAGAACCTTTTGATGGGTCATAGGTCAAACCTGAGATCTTACTGCAAATCTTGGAAGAACTACCCTATAAATGTCTTGTCATGACCGTCAACTTCAGTTTTAAGGGGAGTTCAAGTCTGACTGATCATTCAGGATGGCATTATTATATATTGCTATTTATTGTTGTTATTATACATAGTTGCTTATAACTTTGCCAAATTTTCACCATTCACCCTGAAATTTTCCATGCCAGGTATCTACCTGAGGCTGATTTTATTTTTTATGTTTATTTTTAAGTTTCAGCAAAAATGGTTCAGCCATTTCTCAGAACAAGATTAGTGAAAAATACATTATTTTGACTTTGTTTAAAAAAAAAAATCTTACCTCTATTTTACGAAGAATCTGCTGCACCTCCTAGAGTCAAGGAGGTACCTTTTGCTGTGTGTGGGGAACTTGGTGAAACTTCCAAATTTGGCCAAGTTACATGCCTTTGATAAATCTCAGTTCACACATACTAAGCAGAGACTTGTTAGAGTATGGCAGCTAAATTTTTTGAAATTTCTGTCTGCCGTGAGCCTGCTCCAGGTCAGGGCTGCAGGGCCCAAGCAGGAATTTCCCTACAATTGTTGCCCACACTGCTGAGGGCCACTGTGGTACCAGGCACATGAACTGAGATCAGGAAGCCTGTCTTTCCTGTACTTACAGTGCCTACCCTGCTGACTCCAAGGCACTGTGGAGGAGAAAATAGCCTGATTCATATGCAGAGGGGACAACAGCTGCACCTGGGGTGGGTAGAGGTGGGGCAGAAGAAAGAGTAGATTGGGGCATGGTGTCTGATAGAGTTGGGGATGGATTTGGACTTGGAGCTGCGGGAGGAGACTGGAACTGGCTGGAGAAAGAGCTTGCACTGGGACCTAGGAGAGAGACCAGGACTGGCAGGGCAAGGAGATTAGGAGCTGTGGGAGCCTAAAAAGGGGTGGGGGACAGGCTGACAATGGGGGATGGGAGAGACTGAAATTGGATGAGGACCTGGGGGGTGGAGACTGGGACTTGGAGATACCGCCAGCAGGGGAGACTAAGACTGTCTGGGCAAGGAGACTGTGACTGGGATGAGAAGTCTGAGGAGTGGAGAAGGATTCTGATGGGGAGAGGATTGGAACAAGGACAAGCTGGAGTGGATGGGGTAGAAAGGGTCAGGCTTCAGGAGAGCAGGGGCAGAAGGGTATTTCCCAAACAGCGCACACTCCCTTCCAGAACCAGGAAAGAATCCCAATATTCCTGAATCTCACCATGCCTCTGTTGGAGGATGTATCTCATGTCTGTTTGGTGCTGGTCAATGGGATGGCACCCTTCTACTGTTATCAGTTACGCAGTTAGATCAAGTATCATAGGTCTGTACTGTGGATCTAAAGGTTCCAGTGTTGCTGACAACCCATGTGGGTGGCAATATGATGCTGTATGATGAGATTTCTGTTATTTTCAGTTTGCTTTTTTTAGAACCTAGGACATTATGCACTGTTTGTCTGTTTGAAATGGGCCACCCTCATTACCACTATAAAAGTGATTTTTTTCCTTCCTTGATATTCTACTGTTAATTGAATTGTCTCGTTAGCACTGACCAGGGCCAGCTCTAGGCACCAGCAAAACAAGCAGGTGTTAGAGCAGCACATTTCTAGGGGCAGCATTCTGGCGCCGGCCATGCTGCCCCTAGAAATGTGCCCCTGCCGCCCCAGCTCGCCTCCGCCTGCTCCCCTGAGCACGCCGCCGCTCCGCTTCTCCCTCCCTCCCAGGCTTGCGGTGCAATTGGGGAGGCGGCGGTGGTGGAGTGGAGGTGAGCTGGGGCGGGGAGCGGTTCCTCTACCCCCCCCCGTTACTTCCTGTCCTCCCTCCCCCCTCGCTCACCTCTGCTCCGCCTGCTCCCCTGAACACGCTGCCTCTCCCTTTCCTGAGAGGGGGGAGGGAGAAGCGGAGCGGCAGCGTGTTCAGGGGAGCAGGCGGAGCGGAGATGAGCTAGGGCAGGGGGTTGCGGGGGGTAGCCTCAGGAAGCAATGGGGGAGGGGGCGGGGCCGGGGATTTGGGGAAGGGGCGGAGTTGGGGCAGAGCCGGGGGTGGAGTGGGGGGGGCAAAAAAAAAAGCAGGGGTGGCCAAAATTTTTTTTGCTTGGGGCGGCAAAAATCCTAGAGCTGGCCCTGGCACTGACCCCCCACTTGGTAAGGCAACTCCCATCTTTTCATGTATTGTGTGTGTA